ACACACACACACACACACACACACACACACACACACACACACACACACACACACACACACACACACACAAATAGCCAAAACATGAGTGTACATTCCTGCATAAACCTTTTGAAGTGTGCTTCTGATTTATTTGAAAGCACTGATCTTGAAAGAACCAAGCCCCAAAGCAGACAGAGTTGGGCCTGAAATGATGGATGAGGATCCGTCACGGTGCATACAGATGGGTTTGAAAATGATTGTCTGGTCTGGAGCATCCAAAAAACTAGTCAGTGCCGTACTCTCACTTTTAAGTCGGTGTGCAAAGGTTTTTTCCTGATACACGATCAACGTTGATTTCAGAACTGATAAAGCCATTTAATGTGACCATATGTGGACATTAGTTGCAGTCTTTTATCAGTTTGCTTTGAGTGGAAATGTTGGACATGAAAAACGGTTTCATGGCAGCAGGCTTAAGAGTGTGAATAATTTTCCTGGTATCAACCCAATGCCACTGATGTTTTGGGCATTTATCCTCTTGGAAAAGAAATCTCTGAATTTAGTGTTATCTTCCAACTCGTAGCACAGTTTCCTCCAGGACTCGCTTGTATTTCACAATTTATTTTGGCACATTTTACACACTGAATGTAATGGCAGAAACCTAATTAGGTTAGGAAAATATTAACTTTCTATTGTTTTGTGTGGGACACTCGATGTAGGTGAATGTTTTGTAATTGTCATACTGGAATCTGATTTGGAATAGGTGTTTCCCAAGCCACTCCTCTAGCACTGAAGATAAGCTCTTAGTTCATTTTGTGCTGATTCACCAGGCCTTTTGGAGAATAGTTGCTCAAGGTTGCTTTTCAAATTATACATTAACACACGTTATATATTGATGCGCATTAAAAATAGCAAGGAATTTGGTTTTCGGGGGTGGCTCACGGTTTCAGGTATTAGTCTGAAAATAAAATGGTTTAGGAATTAACTCATCAGTTTAAACCCTTTCTGCATGTCAGAATGCCGTAATGCTAGGAGACATGGCTTTAGAAGTTTGCTTCACCCTGTTTCTGAGCCAGAGTGTTATTAGAATGTGTTCTAAATGCTGCTAAATCAGGATGCAATGAAACTTCTTTTTAATGTTTATATTTTGCACAATAGCCATAAAATGAACTGAATCAACTTTTTCTTTCTTTTTTTTCTGAACTCTACCCGTATCAAACAGACCAGTTTGAACAGAAAACAATTGACTGGTGTGAACACATTTAAACATTTTTTTTCTTTTTTTGCAATACATGAAGATGTTTGGGGCTGTACATACATACATACGGCGGGTAAAATAAGTATTGAACACGTCACCATCTTTCTCAGTAAATATATTACTAGAGGTGCTAATGACATGAAATTTTCACCAGATGTCGGTAACAACCCAAGTGATCCATACATACAAAGAAATCAAACCATAAATGTCCAGAAATGAAGTTATTTGTAATAATGTGGAATGGCACAGGGAAAAAGTATTGAACACACTTACTGAAATTTATCTAATACTTTGTACAAAAGCCTTTGTTGTCAATGACAGCTTCAAGACGCCTCCTGTATGGAGAAACTAGTGGCATGCATTGCTCTGGTGTGATTTTGGCCCATTCTTCCACACAAACAGTCTTCAAATCTTGAAGGTTTCGTGGACCTCTTCTATGAACTCTGATCTTTAGTTCTTTCCATAGATTTTCTCTATATATATGTGTGTGTGTGTATACATGTGTGTATGTATACGTTTGTGTGTGTGCATAGACACTGCATGTAGATGTATATTTACGTGTATGAATGTATTCTGGTTTTGTATAATTTAGTAGGTAAACAGATTATTGTTTTAGTCTTTATGAAATTGTGACTTAGAATAAGAAAAAAGATTTTATTATTTTTTTAAATAAGCTTTGGAGAAGGGTGGGATTAAATAAGTTTTGTACTTCTTCCCATTTCTTTTCAATTTTTGATCACTTATTATTTTTTTGTTTTGTTTCTATATGTTTGAAATAAATTAAACTAAGCTTTAAAAAAAATTAAAACCCAGTATACGTCATCTTCTTTCGTCCACAGGGAAGTTTGATCCCAAAGCAATGAGCAACTTCTATGACAACATTCAGCCTGGTCCAGTGGTGCCATCCAACACTGTGAGGAAAGGTAAAATAAAACAATGCAGACTTTAAAACTTGAGTTTGGTTCTAAGGATGATGTCTGTAAAACTTTAGTTTAAACATTAAAAAAAAAACCTAAAGTAAATATAATCTAATACATTGGAGCCCCTGCAGTGTGTTTAAGTGTCCTTGTGCAACACACTGAACCTCGCACTGCTCCCAACAAACTTATTACTGTTCCAGTGAAATGTGCTCTATATAATGATTAAAATAAGTAACAGAAAGCACTGGATGAATATGTATGAATGGATAAATGAGAGGTCTTTATAAAGCACTTGGCAGAACCTTGAGAGGCTTAAAAAGGTGCTGTACAAGTCTCATTTACAATTTAATACTCAGATGCAGTAGTTTGTTTCATCCTAATATGTTGCATAACAAAGAAAATTAGATTTAGTTTTGAAACAGAGACAAAAATCTTACCCGATTTAGGTGGAATGACCTCCAATGATCTGTTGGCTTGGAAACCAGATAAGAAACCTTGCTTTTTAATAATCTGCCTCTACATGTACTTGGGTAGTTGTTACATGCATGCGTGCCTGCTGACATCCAAAACTGTTTCCACCCCTCAGCTGTGAACTCTTATGAAGTAAATGTTTAGCTGAACTCACGGTTCTCAAACTGTTTCTGTCAGAATGGGAACAGGCCTCCAAGCCAGTGCCGGCGGCCCCGAGAGACGAGGACTTTGAAGGCGCTGAGTGGCATTGTGAGAGCTGCACCTTCCTGAACCACCCTGCACTCAACCGCTGCGAGACGTGCGAGATGCCACGCCACAGCTAAACGGAGCACTGTGCTGTCCCACCTCTCCCTGCCCCACTCCTCGGACACCCTGAGCCACGACCTTTCAGCCCTCCTACCCCCGCCGTCAATCAGTATACAAGTTCCTTCTACCTGCTGAGGAAGAGCCACTATCCCCACCTCCCTCTGATCACGTCTGTCATCGACTGCTGTGCACTATGAAGTTGTTTTTTGTTTTTTTTAGATTTCTTTGACAGATGATGAATATCTTTAGCCTTTTTCAAATTCCTGTCTTGGCAAMATGTCTAAAAACGGGACGCAAATCACTGCAACCGAGTGAAACCGGCTTTGCAGAAGTCAAAGCAGCGTAAGGATTGAGGAGAACGGGCTTTGGTTTACCAAGAGAACATTCCACGCAGAAGTAAGTGACTGCCTTGTTTACATTGTGCCCATCACTGAACTGAAAATAGAGGCACTTTATTTCCAAGACTTCTGACTGTCTTACCGACCGCAGAACAATGATCAGAAGTGGCGTATACATTATTGTAACTAATGCGAAATGTAGACTGTACACTGTACCTGGCTCTGTGTGAGAGCTCGTTTCACTGAAAGAACACTAAAGACACTCGCATACGAGTATATTCCTTGTACTTCTATGCATATTATGCCACCATGTATTATGTGTTCAAAAGATGTGGATTTCCTGTGCAAATGCCTCAACTTGCTGTACCTAATAAAAGAGCTGATTCTAAGTGACTTGACAACGCAGAGCTGCACAGTTTGCAGTAATTCATATGTGAATATGTTTATTGTGTCATCAGCAAGCAAACAGTAGAGGCATGCACACACACTCACTCGAAGCATCGCTATAAGAGGAGGTTTACGAACAAAATGGTCTTTACAAGAACACGTGGGTGCAAGAAGTTCATTCCAYGGGTGTTTGATCTCACTGCTCGTGCTCAGCTAGTCTCTTAAATACAAAAATGCATTTTTTTTTTTATTTATAGAGAAATCTGTGTGGTTCGCTCTTTGGTTTTCCTGATTCAAAACAAAATGGCAAAAAGAAAAGTGTTTTTTTTATTTCTTTTTTAAAAATTGAAATCCAAAAGCTGTAAAATCAAACCCATTAAAAATCTACAGTGTTTTTTACTTCAGCTATCGTAAACCAAAATAAAAATATGTTTTTGTTTTAAGATAAAGCGGGACTGGAGTTGACGGAAGTCGACCAAAGAAGAGGCTGCAAGCTTCTTAAAAACATTCCTAAAGATAATGGCTGCACTTGGACACCATTCTGCATAACGGTCAGATCATCAGCTCTCAATGAGATGTGTCGACTTCCTCCAAATTAGGGCTGCCACAAACGATTAGTTTTATCGATTAATCACCTATTATTTTTTCGATTAGTCGACTAATCGGATCATACATTAATTGAATATAAAACACACAGCTTATCATGCCAGAATGCAGCTGCTATTATATAACCATTGTTAGATTTTAGCTATATGCYAACTAAAAATAATTGCTGTGGAAGGCAAGTTCTGCCTTGCAGATATTGCACAGGTTTCTCTTCATTTTCTTAAAATGATCCCACATTTTTGAGCTCCGTTGCTGGGTGGCGATGATATCAGAGCCTGTATAATGTCTTGTAACGTCCACGGCCTACCCCAGTTACCACTACTGTGCATATGTGTTAAGGACAGAAAGGCAGATGTGGCAGTGAAGGTGTAAGCAGTTTGGAAAGAAAAACAAAGTAAAGAACAACAACAACAAAAACAATTAATCGATTATTAAATTAGTCATCGATTATTTTAATAATCGATTAGTCGTCGACTAATCGTGGCAGCCCTACTCCAAATAAGACAAACATATCCATGGTGACTCTAGTTTGCCTGTTTCTAAAGTGTGAAGTAAAAATTTGATGTTCTGGGAGCTCAGGACATTATTTCTGGTTTTGCCAGAGTCCCAAAAGGTGCACCAATACAATCTAAAGCTTGTCTTTGCTTTGACCATTTAATATGGAAAAAGTAGCTTTTTGTAGTTTTGTAATAGTTATTTTTCTAATTTAGTTTTAAAACAAAACAAAAACTCCCCCCTCACTTCATTTTGAAACAGAAAAACCACAGAACGAACCATACATGAATGTCTGTTGATTTTGTGCTCTTGATGGTGTTTACACCAAAGTTCATACTTTTTACAGTGGGTGAAAGATAAGTAGGCATCACATGGGGGGGACTGTGAGCACGTGCTCAGTAGCATGATCATCCCAACACTCAGCTCTCATGATCATTTGCCTGTTTGATTGCTTGGAATGTTTTATCCACACTGCGCATAGTTCCATATAAAACACCAGATTTATTCAAATTAAATTTGACTATAATTACTGCTGTGGTAGGTTGTGCTAACCTGYATATCATTTGATACTTGCAACATTTTTATAATTTCCTGTTTTAGACAGCCCTTATCAGTGTCTTGGAGACTAATAGACTCAATACAGGAGAAAATAAAATAGCTTTATAGGCATGATTTTTACACATCTGTTGATCTTTGCYGGAGATCTCTGGTTGAGGTCTAAGGTGTGCAGTATCTCTGGGGAAATGATGAATGTAGCCACATCTTCCCTTCGTTTTTCATCATTTGAGCAGGRCATCTTCCTCTCTACATGAGCCTGAGATTACATCCGCCTGGTCTTTATTAGTCTACCGGTTTGTGCAGGTATGGGGTCAGGGGCTCCATCTGTTCCCTACAGACTTTCAGCTCAGATCTACGGAGGTTGCACATATTTGCCTGATTGGGGACACTTTCTTCTAAATGTTTTTTTTCTTTTATCCATATCTGATATTGAATTTATTTTTATTTGCTAAACCCTTACAGAAAGTTCCCTGGCATCTGTGCAATATCTTAATGTCTTTGAGACATTAGGTTCAAAGCATCAAATGTAAAAACTCAGTCCAAACACCAAAAAAAAAGCATTTGTTTTCCCCATTTCCAATGTATGGTTATGCACTGCGGAACAGAAAAGTTCTTGTGGACACCAAGTGTTTTGCGTTTCTTCAGATATCTTGGGGTTTTTGCTTTAATAATATTCTTCATAGTTCTTGGGGTTTAGGCAGTAGAGGACGGCGCCTCCAAAGGAGAAGATGGTGGATCCCCAGGCCAGACCGTAGCCCCAGTTGAACTCGTGGTACACCCTCAAACTGATTGTTTCTATGAACTTGATGGGGAACAGGACCAAGCTGCACACCTGAAGGACAACTGCAAAAGAAACAGAATATCACAAAAAAAGGATTCTTGTAAAAATTGAGAAACAATTAATGACCAGAAACTGAAGTTACCAGGAAAACTTGAAATAATTGTTAACATTTTATTTAATCTCTCATCTTTTCTCTCTAGGATTCAGAAAAAACAAAGCACTAGCATTCCTTGAAGGAAGGTATATCACCCACCACCTTTCATGCCAGAGTTTTAAACTAGGATCATCTTATATTGAGAAACGATGGAGTTGTAGCTGTTTTTGTCAAACATCAAAAACAGCCTTATTCAAGTAAWATGAGTTTGTGTTGTGAATGACTTTCAATTACTACCATCTGAAGATCTGTAAAACTGACCAAGTTGTAGCCATTTACGTTTTGCTAATGTTGATTATCTGTGGCAGCTATCTTGAATTGGATTGTCTCCTAAATTTAATCAGTTGTAGACGTACATCATTCAAATCTATCCAGTAGTTTGTGAGATATTTTGTTAACAGACACAACTGGCTTCAAATGATTAATGGTTAAATTGAAAATAAAATTCTTGCATGATTTCAGCCACAGCCCCACCAAATTTTCAATCAATATCTGTTAAATTCTTTGAGTTACTGCCAAATTAGTGTTTTGTTTTGTTTCAAGTCTGTCAGTTATGCAGCCATCTTGAGCTGGGCTGACTCCAGAAGTTAATCARTTGTAGATGTGCATTCAGTGATTACTTTCTGTAAGTTTTGTTCAAATTTGTCCAGTGGGTAACTAGATATTTTGGTGACAGACACAAACACARTCGTCAACCTTTCGTACCTGCAGAGTACAGCATGACAGCCACGGGTTTGTAGCAGCGACTCCTGGAGCCGAAGCAGAGGGAGACCAGCGCCACGAGGAAGGAGAGCAGGGTGAGGGCTGCTCCCCCCATCAGCAGGGCCAGTGTGGCGATCTGCCAGTCTGCGATCAAACACAGGGACAGGAGTCACATAGGAAGCTTAATTAAGAAAAAGGTTGCCTTGAAGTGCTTTRACACAAGAAAAGAGGAGGAAAAACAAGGAAGAGGGAAGCACCAGACCAGGTCAACAGCCAAAGTGGTTAACCACAAAAAAACACTGCAGTGCTCAATCTTGCATAAAACAAATGATCCCGCCCAGCAAAGCTGGACCRCTGTGTAAACACAAACTGTTCGCGGTTCAGAGGCTGGGCTAGCTGCGYGCTCTAAAAGAGCCTGGCGATGTCTCGAGATGTTCTCATGTGAGGTTCAACAACCAGTCGAGCAAATGAAGTATGTGAACTACACGKCGAGCCTTGATCCGACCCCTGCTTCTGGGGCCTGACAAGAAGAAACAAACACAATCCTGTGCTTTGCAAAGATTTCAGCAGCTCGGTAATGAATCCCAGAGCAGCAGAACAGGGAAAGTGATTCTGCGAGGTGACTCAGATAATGAACATCCCTTCAGTCTCTGCTTGATGCCAGATCAGCAGCATTCTCAGCATCTCATCGAGATTAACTCTAAAAACTCTCAGCTGGAAATAACTGCTGTTTCAGTCTCACATTGTAATCAAGACACGGCGCCAGTGTAGAACAAAAAGCTTGTGTCAAAACCTAGTATACATGTATGAATGTGTGTGTGTGTGTGTGTGTGTGTGTGTGTGTGTGTGTGTGTGTGTGT